AAAAAAAAACACCCTCACCACCAAACCTGCTCCTGGATAAAACCCACCACGGAGCCCAGAGCTAAACCAGCACTAAACCAGCACTAAACCAGCACTAAACCAGCACTAAACCAGCACTAAACCAGCACTAAACCAGCACTAAACCAGCACCAGCACCTCCAAATCCCGGCTCAACCGAGCAGGAAACCAGCCCATGCAAATCCCAGCCCCGTCAGGGAGGGTGGGACACGAGTCTCCCTGTTTTGAGGGACACTCTCTGGACCACCAGGGATGAAATCCGGCTTTTTTGGGGGGCAGGGAATGTTTTTTTAGGGAAGTTGAGGCAGGTGCAGGAGGCCAGGATGGAGCCGACCCCTTCCTGCCTCGGCTCCGGTGAGGAAGGACAAGGAGAGGAGCAGAAACACCTAATATGGGGATTTTTGGGGACTTTTTGGGCTTTCCCAAAGTTTTAGTGGCTCCTCACTGGGGTGGGTTTAGGACAAGTGGCTCCTCCAGGGCCAAGCTGGAGCTCCGAGGTCCCAAATCCCAAATTCCAGATCCACAGATCCTGCCCTGCTCCTGTCCCTCCTGCCTGGCCTTAAATCCAACACCCACCTCCCGCTTCCAGCCCTGGAGCGGAGGGGAGGCGGATTTGGGGCCTCCTCCATTATTTTCCAGGGAAGCAGGAGGCTTTTCCAAGACAATGGAGAGCCCCACGCTCGGCTCCAGCCTGGAAAAAAACCCGCCTGGGACAGAAAATCCTTCTTTAACTCCCCCCATCTGTGCATCCCGGGAGTTATTCCAGCCTGGCCGTGTGTGTTCACGGCTTTTCCTTGGGAATGAACCGGGATGGGAAGAGTTTGGCCGGGTCTGGGCTGCAGGGAAGCTCCAGCAGTTGGAGGTTTTTGGGGCAGGAAGCTCATTTGAGGAGACGTTCCCAAAATCCCCGGTGGGCAAGAGCAGAATCCCCGCGGAAACGAGGACAACCGGGAGGTGGATTTCAGGAATTCCGAAGCCGATTTTAAAACATTTCGGCCTGTTTTGCACCGTCCAACCCATTCCGGAGGGAGGAGGCTCCGGGGAAGGGGGAACCACACGAACCCCAACCACATCCGAGGGCCCCGCGGCCGCCGATCCCGACGTTTTGCAACCCTCGGGAAGGTCCATCCGTCTGTCTGTCCCGCCCGGGAACAGGCCTGACCTGAGCCAAGGGTTGGGGGGGGGGTATCAGCGAGGATCAGCAGCCGGAATTTTGGGGATCGCCGGCGCTGGAGCCGCTTATCTGCCCAAACCCCATTAACCGACGAGCCCAACGCCGCGATCGCTCCTTATAAGGCTGGAAAAGCCGCCGGGAATGAGGAGACTCTCCTCGAGGAGACTCAGAGCTGAGTCACCCCGCAGCCGGCACAGGGGGAAAAAAGGCGGCCCGACTCTATTTTTTTTTTGGGGGGGGGGGATCCCTCCGGCCCCCCAAAAAGCCTCGAGCCGAGCCGGGCCGGGCTCTCCCGGGCAGCGCCGCCGGCTTCGCCCCATTCCCGGGAATCCGGGGCGCCAGGACGGCGCGGGGCCGGTTTTTGGGGCGCCGCCAGCCCCACCCAGGGCCCGTCCCGGCCGCGGACGGCGCCGGGGAAAACCCGAGGAGACGAGGAAGAGGAAAAAAACCGGGACGATTCGCTCAAATTCCAGGGAAGGGGGGGAAGGAGCCGCTGCCCGGTTGTTCCCATCGCCCCCCAACCCCTCCTTCCTTCCCGGGAGCCGCTCGAGGGGCGCGTTTCCCCCCCCCCCAAAGCCACGTTTTTGG